CACCATGGAAAGGAACACTTAAATGGTATGGAATATCACAACAGGAGGTATCTACAAGGTTTTCTACGTAGAACCAAGATACAATTGGAGTTTTATAAAAATAAAATAAAGCTCCAAGAAGTAAAACTGAGAAGTTGTTATGCAGAACCGATTGGGTATAGCAGTGAAGAATTTCTAAGAATCAATCTAGTGGATGCCGCCTTCATTATTGAGTTTTTGTTGAGGTCCAGTAGCTTGCCAAACAAGGTAATTGGGCCACAGGAATTTGCAAATCCCATGAAAGCCAAAATCCCTCATCCAAACAGACCAAGGATTCATCAAATTCTTTTTTCTTTCAACTGTTCATATTTAATAAGTTATGTAACAAATTTTACATTTTCTTGCCAAGACATTTTTTTGCTTGGAAATATTGGTATAAATTGTATATAATATTAAATTGTTTCTCAGATATTTCTCTCGTAAATCTCAGTACATGAAATTAAAAACTCTTTTAGACAAATATAGGGTAGGTTGAAAAAAATGAGATGAGTAGCACACTGCCTATACTCTACGTAGTGTTAATATGGACAAACTTTCTCGTGTACATATATACATATCTAGAAAACTGGGGGAAATGGCATCAAACCTGCTTGCAAACTTGTGGTTTTCTTTCTCTGGGATGTGGAACTGGATCCAAAATCTAAATAATTAGGAATTGAATGGCTCCGACTAAAAAAATAAATTAAAATAATTGAACGTACGTTTGGTTCAGTCTTGTCTTATACAAGTCAACCCAAGTCCATGCTCAGCGTCAAAAAGATAAGGTACGTAGCTAGAAGACGTTAATTCAATCTGGCAAAACGCCTCACATAAACATATAAAACAAAAAGTTGTTCTACGTAGCCCATCTACCAGAGGAACCAAGTAAGCTGCATTGAGCTTCTCTTGTAATCGACCAAAGGGAAACCAACTTGGTCCTTTGAACATACAGGTCAAAATATTATAGGTGACAGTAGCCAGGTGAAAATGTAGATTTAGGGCTAGTTTGGCATTGCTGTGCTGTGAAAATAATCGCTGTTAGATTTAATGTGAAAGAAAACAGTTTGGCGTATGGTAAACTTTTTGTTAAAAGTGTTGTTGGTATTGATTTCCGCATATTCAGAAAATTATTGCCGCATAATTATTAAACCCATCGCCTCTTCAAAACTGATTCCTGCATAATCAGAAAATTAAAGCACCTTATTATATGCTTTCCCTTATAGCTTTCTCTCACATCAATTTTTAACAATAAGTGATTTTCTCATAGTTTACCAAACGGGCTGGGCTTCCCAAATTTTTTTTAAAATCACTTATCATCCCAAACAAGTAATGCCAAACTGGCACTTACTATATTTTTGGTTGAGAGAGTCATTTGGGAGTCATACATGTTATTTTAGGAGCTCTCTATAAAATTTAAACTTCAATCGTGCTATTTACTTTAGGGAGTCATAAAAGTTATAACTCTTTTTTCATTGGTCCATCTCTATTAAAAAATAAAATAAAAAATAGTTAGCATCAAACAAAGGTTCAAAATACTCATTAAATAAAGCAACATTAAATTATAGGGAGCCACTAGGATTCTTTTATCTCTCCTCATATTTAGGAGCTTCTAGAGGTCTCCCTATTGTAGGAGGTGGATAGGGAGCATGGTTAGAGTTGTATTTTTACAATTCCTCCCTAAAATTTGTCTGAGGAGGTGGTTTAGCGAGCCAATTGTGGATGCTCTTATTTGCGACTTGAATAATTTTTGCTCTAACAAAATCTTCAATTCAATTAATGCAATATCATGGAAAAAAATGAAAAGAGTGTTGCTATTTCCACCCACTTGTCCTATTTTCCCACCTTATCTTCAAAATTTTAAAGACAAATTTACCCCTTAATAAAATGACTTTTAAGGACTTATGGAAAATGATTAAAAAAACAAAACAATTGCCTCAAACTTAAAATTAAAAAAAGTTAAAAAAATCCAAAGCACAAAGATCAAACATCAAATCCAAAGCACCCCTCAACCTCTCACTCCTATTTTATCTCCATCCTAAAACCCCAACCCCAAAAGTTTTGAGCCAAAACGATGGATTCTTCATCAGAAACTCTAGTCGTCATGTACTCTTCGCATTTGTAGGAGAAGGCCAACAAATCCCAATGATCGACATGGCAAAAGTCTTCTCCTCCCATAGAGCAAATTCCAATGTAATCAGATGCTCATGTTGAAAATATGTTCTATTAGTTTTGTTTTGGTCGTCAAATCTCTCCAATTAGAGCAAACAATTGCTCTTTTCAGTCATTAGATTAAATTTAAATGACTCACAAGTTAAACAAAAAGAGAATTTGCTTGAATTAATAATTAAGGGGTATTTTAAGAATAATGGTGGGTGGAAAGATAGGATTGTTTTTTTTCAAATTTATATGGTAGGTGAGAAGATAAGGTGGGTGGGAAAATAGAACAGGTGGGTGGAAATAGCAGCACTCGAATGAAAATATGAAAACGTGTGAAAATTGTCTATGTATTTATTATATGAAAAGAAAAAATGCATGTTTTTAACATTTTCAAGGTAAGTTTTATTTTTCCAAAGTATAGTTAAATGTTTGAGAGCTAAAGTTAACTTACCAATCCTGAAGAGAGAGAAAGAGGTTGCAGCTTTGATGTTTGAGGTTAAGGAGGCTGTTTGAGAGAGTTTTCTTATGTGTCTCGCCTATTTTAGAATTCCAAAGTTATTAAAGGGATGCTCTAACAATATAAAACATGTCCAACACTTTATAGAATACAATATTAATGTCTTTATTAATTTTTATTTTATTTTTATACAAGTAAATTGGGGGAGAGGGGATTCGATTAAACATAGAATTTCAAGCGTATGAGAAACTGCTTTTAACCATTGAAGCAACAAGCTCTTTGCTCTACATGTATTAACATTATAATAAGAAACCTTGACTATTATTTTTTCCCCTACGACATTGTGACGTCATGAAACACAATCACCATTGCATATCTCATATAGGGGTAGGTAGATAAAGCTTTCACCAAATTACAGACTTAATATGTGTTAGCGAGATCCTAGCTTAATTAGGATATTAATTTTCTAGTTTATTAGGATTATATTTCTTTCCTTTTGTACATATATTATGTAATTGTGTTTTTATCTTGTTTCCTAGTTTGACCCTACTAGGGTTACATCCTTGTACTATAAATACCTTCTTTTGGAGAATGAAATACAACCTGAAAAATATTCTACCCATATTGTTTGACATGGCATCAAAGCCAACTTTTCTGGTGACCTGTGTATTGTGCCCACTCGTGTTCTATCCCCAAATTTTTTTCCTCTACCTGTGACGTGTGTGCCCTCCTGGGTTTGTGTGTTGTGTTGTGTTGTAGTGTTCGTGACTCTACTGTGTTCGTGTCATTCCTGTCTTCGTGCATCTGCCGTATTTGTGTCTTTACTATGTTCCGCTGTGTACTCTGTTATGTTCGTGCCTGTCTTCGTGCATCTGTCGTATTTGTATCTTTGTTGTGTTCCATTGCATACTCAGCCGTGATCTGTTGAGTTTCTGTTGCAATCATGGGTGATAACTCCATTGTTGGTGTTGTTGTTGCTGCCCCTGCAAATTTGTGTGTTTTTTATTCTATTCCAGGTACTTGCTTCAATACTTGGATAATTGACACAAGTGCTTCTAATCATATGACTTATGATGCTAAATTTTTTGATGAGTTGTCTAGTAACACCCGTGACCCGTACATAACTAGTGCTAATGGCTTGCCCTCTTCAATTACTAGTGAGGGCACAATCTCTGTCACTCCTACTCTATCCTTGTTTCGTTCATTACTAGTTCCTAATATCCATTGTACCTTGTTATTTGTTGGTCGATTACTTGATACACTTAATGCTTCTGCTACTTTCTATCCTACGTATTACTCTTTTCAGGATCTCAAGACTCACGAGACGATTGGGCATGGTAAACGGATAGGGGGGTTATATTATTTGACATTGCCTTCTGCACCAGTTCATGATCATGTCGTTAATACTGTTCAAAGTTGCGGTGTCAAAGACAAACAAAAAATTTGGTTATGGCATTATCGCTTGGGACACCCGTCATTTGGCTACCTTAAGCATATGTTTCCATCTTTATTCTGCTCTTGTGATGAGTCTAGTTTTAAGTGTGAGACATGTATTTTGGCCAAGAGTCATTGCACTGTGTTTCCTTTGAGTGACAGTAAAGTTGCAAAATCTTTTGATTTAGAGCATTCTGATGTGTGTGGTCCGGCTCGCGTTACTTCAAACGGATTTCATTAGTTTGTCATATTTATTCATGATTGTACCCGACTCATTTGGGTTTTCTTGCTGAAAAATAAACATGATGTTGCTTCCATCCTTCCAGAGTTCTGTACTATGGTGTCTACTCAGTTTCATGCTCGGGTCAAAGTATTCCGAACTGATAACGGAGGCGAATATGTGAATAACACTTTGGCATCTTTCTTCCGTGCTCAATGTATTATTCACCAAACGACAACCCCATTTACTCCTCAGCAGAATGGTGTGTCTGAACGCAAGAATCGTCAATTACTTGAAGTTGCCAGCTCCCTTATGTTGGACATGTCTGTTCCCCATCATCTTTGGGGGCATGCTGTTTTATATGCTGCCCATTTGATTAATCGTACTCCTAGCAGGGTTCTTGATTTCAAGACTCCACATGATGTGTTTGGTGACCATATTTCCCCTGTCTTAGTCTCCAAGTTGCCCCCTAAAGTTTTTGGATGTGTTGCATATGTTCATGTCTACTTTCAT